TCTCACTTGTGGGGCCTTTTCCCTCTCACTTGTGGGGCCTTTTCCCTCTCACTTGTGGGGCCTTTTCCCTCTCACTTGTGGGGCCTTTTCCCTCTCACTTGTGGGGCCTTTTCCCTCTCACTTGTGGGGCCTTTTCCCTCTCACTTGTGGGGCCTTTTCCCTCTCACTTGTGGGGCCTTTTCCCTCTCACTTGTGGGGCCTTTTCCCTCTCACTTGTGGGGCCTTTTCCCTCTCACTTGTGGGGCCTTTTCCCTCTCACTTGTGGGGCCTTTTCCCTCTCACTTGTGGGGCCTTTTCCCTCTCACTTGTGGGGCCTTTTCCCTCTCACTTGTGGGGCCTTTTCCCTCTCACTTGTGGGGCCTTTTCCCTCTCACTTGTGGGGCCTTTTCCCTCTCACTTGTGGGGCCTTTTCCCTCTCACTTGTGGGGCCTTTTCCCTCTCACTTGTGGGGCCTTTTCCCTCTCACTTGTGGGGCCTTTTCCCTCTCACTTGTGGGGCCTTTTCCCTCTCACTTGTGGGGCCTTTTCCCTCTCACTTGTGGGGCCTTTTCCCTCTCACTTGTGGGGCCTTTTCCCTCTCACTTGTGGGGCCTTTTCCCTCTCACTTGTGGGGCCTTTTCCCTCTCACTTGTGGGGCCTTTTCCCTCAATTTGGGGTCATTTTTTTTCCCTGAATTGACAGTTTTTTCTCCATATTTGTGTTTAATTTTTTGGCCTGATTTGGGTGTTTTTTTTGCCTTTTCTGAGGTTGTTTTTCCCTCATTTGTTCATACTTGTGTTTAAATTTTTGGCCTGATTTGGGTGGTTTTTTTGGCCTTTTCTGAGGTTGTTTTTCCCTCATTTGTGGGGTCTTTTTACCCTGAATTATGGGGGATTTTTTTCCTGATTTGTGTTTAATTTTTTGGCCTGATTTGGGTGTTTTTTGGCCTGATTTGAGGTAATTTTTTTGCCTAATTTGGGGTCTTTTTTCCCCGAGTTGTGGGGCGTTTTCCTCCATATTTGGGCTTAATTTTTCACCCTGATTTGAGTGGTTTTTTGGCCTGACTTAAGGTTGTTTTTTCCTCTCACTTGTGGGGCCTTTTCCCTCTCACTTGTGGGGCCTTTTCCCTCTCACTTGTGGGGCCTTTTCCCTCTCACTTGTGGGGCCTTTTCCCTCTCACTTGTGGGGCCTTTTCCCTCTCACTTGTGGGGCCTTTTCCCTCTCACTTGTGGGGCCTTTTCCCTCTCACTTGTGGGGCCTTTTCCCTCTCACTTGTGGGGCCTTTTCCCTCTCACTTGTGGGGCCTTTTCCCTCTCACTTGTGGGGCCTTTTCCCTCTCACTTGTGGGGCCTTTTCCCTCTCACTTGTGGGGCCTTTTCCCTCTCACTTGTGGGGCCTTTTCCCTCTCACTTGTGGGGCCTTTTCCCTCTCACTTGTGGGGCCTTTTCCCTCTCACTTGTGGGGCCTTTTCCCTCTCACTTGTGGGGCCTTTTCCCTCTCACTTGTGGGGCCTTTTCCCTCTCACTTGTGGGGCCTTTTCCCTCTCACTTGTGGGGCCTTTTCCCTCTCACTTGTGGGGCCTTTTCCCTCTCACTTGTGGGGCCTTTTCCCTCTCACTTGTGGGGCCTTTTCCCTCTCACTTGTGGGGCCTTATTTCTGGGGCCTTTTTTCCCTGATTCATGTTTAATTTTTTTGGCTTGATTTGAGGTTGGTTTTTCACCTCATTTGGGGTCTTTTTTTTCCCCTGAATTGTGGGGGTTTTTCTCCATATTTGTGTTTAATTTTTTTGGCCTCATTTGGGTGTTTTTTTGGCCTGATTTAAGGTTGTTTTTTTCCCTCATTTGTGGGGTCTTTTTAACCTGAATTATGGAGGATTTTTTCCCTGATTTGGGTTTAATTTTTTTGCCCAATTTTGGTGTTTTTTGGCCTGATTTGAGGTTGTTTTTTTGCCTAATCTGGGGTCTTTTTTCCCCCTGAGTTGTGGGGGGTTTTCCTCCATATTTGGGCTTAATTTTTCACCCTGATTTGGGTGTTTTTTGGCCTGATTTGAGGTTGTTTTTTTTCTGCCTAATTTGGGGTCTTTTTTTCCCTGAATTGTGGGGGTTTTTTTCCCCTCATTTAGGGTTTTTTTTTGCCTGATTTGGGGTCTGGGGTTTTTTTGTGGCCTGATTGGGGGTTTTTTTGGCTCTGATTTGGGGCCTCTTTTTGGGAGGGGCCTGATTTGGAGCTTTGGGGGTTTTTTTGGGCCTGATTTGGAGCCTTTGAGGTATTTTTTTTGCCTGATTTGGGGCCTTTTTTGGGGGGGGCTGATTTGGGTTGTTTGATGTAATTTTTGGCCTGATTTGGGCCCAATTTGGAGCCTCCTTTCAGGGGGGCCCGATTTGGGGCCTTTGTTTTTCTGGGGAGAGGGGCCTGATTTGGGTTGTTTGACATATTTTGGGGCCTGATTTGAGGCCTTTCATGTATTTTTTGGCCCAATTTGGGGCCTTTTTTGGGTAGGCCTGACTTGGGTTGTTTGATGTATTTTTTTGGCCCAATTTGGGGCCTTGTTTTTTGGGGGCCCCAATTTAGGGCCTTGTTTATTTTTGGGCCCGTTTGGGGGTCTTTTTTGGGTAGGCCTGACTTGGGTTGTTTGATGTATTTTTTTGGCCCAATTTGGGGCCTTGTTTTTTGGGGGCCCCAATTTAGGGCCTTGTTTATTTTTGGGCCCGATTTGGGGCCTTTTTTTTGGGTGGGGGCCCCCAATTTGGGGCCTTTGAGATATTTTTGGGGCCTGATTTGGGGTCTTGTTTTTGGAGGGGCCCAATTTGGGGCCTTGTTTATTTTTGGGCCCAATTTGGGGCCTTTTGTTTGGGCCTGACTTGGGATCCTTGGTTTTTTTGGGGAGCCCAAATTTGGGGCCTTATATTTTTGGGGCAAATTTTGGGGCCTTTAATTTTTTGGGCCTGATTTGGGGCCTTTTTTTTTCAAGAGGGCCCCAATTTGGGGCCTTTAAGATATTTTTGGGCCCAATTTGGGGCCTTTTTGGCCCGATTTGGGTCATTCCCTCCTCCCCCCCCAGGCTGCTGACTGAGGAAACTCATCACAAGGATCAACAACCTCAGCTGGACCCTGTGGTTGACCAAGGGGCAACTAGAAGGTGCCCAAGATGAAGCTCCTCTTGATGGCTTTGACCTTGGTCCTGTGCATTGGGGTTGGTAAGTGGAAGGTCCTAATTAACTGGGATTTAATAAAGGGTGTTGGTGGGGGTGGAAAGGACCTCAAAAAAACCAACCAATCCTGCCATGGACACATCCCACCCAACCTGCCCTGGAAGCAGCTTCTTTGGGCAACCTCTTCCAAAGAGGTCTCCTCTGGGCCACCATCTTGAGCTGTAGGGTGGTGGATCTTGGCCTAGACCTTCCCCTGATGGTCTCCCTGGGGAAGAACCCCACCCCAAACCCCATAACCACGTGGTTTGGCTTGTCCATGGACTTCTCTTCTTGGAGAAGACCTTTTGAAGACCACTCAAGTCCAACCTTGAACCCAACCCAGTCCAACCATGAAGGCCCAAGTCTTCAAAACTCCACCAAGAACCATTTCAATGGTTCATAACGGTCCATAAATCCACTCGGCCCTTTCCCCTGGTGGGGACACTCCCTTGGGGGACACTCGTAGGTGGTTCAGAAGGGTCCCTGGAGCTCGTTCTTCTTCTCCACCTGCTGCAGTTGAGGTTCTCCAGTGCAGACTCTGCAGGTACAAGATCCCTCTCGTCGGCTGCTTCGGCGGGGCCAACATCACCATGTGCGAGCGGCGGGAGAAATGTGCAATCATCAAAGCCTCCTTGGGTGGGTGGCCAGGAGGGGGCTCGAGGAGGTCAAACTCTTGGGTTGGGTGGGATCTGGAGGGTCTTTAGATCATTGGGTTGGAAGGGACCTTGAAGACCAGCTAGATGATCCACTGGATGATCCTCAAGGTGGTTGCTCCAAGGGCCACGTTGGATGGGGCTTGGAACCACCTGGTTTGGTAGGATCTAAGATGGTCTTGAAGGTCCTTCCAACCCGTTCCATGATGGATTTTGGTCCCAACACAGGGAAGGTGACCCTCTACTACCAACAAGGCTGCACCGCCTCCATGGAGGTGGTCAGGAAGGGGGTGGAGGGGCTTTAGATCATTGGGTAGGAAGGGACGTTGAAGACCAGCTAGAGGATCCACTAGATGATCCTCAAGGTGGTTGCTCCAACGGCCACATTGGATGGGGCTTGGAACCACCTGGTTTGGTGGGATCTAAATGATCTTGAAGGTCCCTCCAGCCCCTTCCATGATGGATTTTGGTCCCACCACAGGACAGATGACCCTCTTCTACCAACAAGGCTGCACCTCCTCCCTGAACTGCGGCCGGGAACGCGCTTCCGACGCCGAATCCCGCCTGACCTCCCGTTACTCCTGCTGTGAGACCGACCTCTGCAACGAGGAGTGGGATAATGACCCCACCCCCTGACCTCCCGTTGATCCACCCCGACCCTCCCCCAACTCTCCAGGTCGCCTGTTTCATCCTTAATTCAGTGATTCACTCAAATCTGGGGTGGGAACGGTCGGATCTGCCCCCCTCGAAGCTTCTTCCTTGATCTCCTTCCAATAAATCTCCAAGTTTAGACCTGGCAGTTGGACTTGGCTCCTGGTCTCTGTGTCCTCCTCCTCCTCCAGACACACATTCCCATCAACAGCTCCTTCAGACTCAGCATTCCTGGGGGGGGCTGGAAGGAGCTCGTGGCCTGGAACATGATCCACCCCCAAGGACGAGCCAAGGTCCTTCCCCTCTCCTTCCATCCCAGTTTTCTTGCTTCTCTTCCCAGTTCAGGGCTGGGAAGTTCTTGGTTGGGAGGTTTTCACCAAGGGGGTTGGAGAGAAGAACATCCAGGAGCTGCTGGAAGGTCAGGAGAAAATCTATTTATTGATGATCTGTTTATTTCCCCTCTTCTAACCCCAAATTTCCTTGATTAGTCAACAGAGGTTGAGTCATCCAACCAAACTAGACCAGACATGGTCCTTCAGGAGGTACCAAACTCCTCCTGTTGGCTCCAGAAACCTAAAGGGAGAGTTTGACCAGTCCAGGATGAGTTAGACTGATTGGAGAAGGGTCTGGGCTTGAGGGCAGGTAGAGAGATGGAGGATTGGGGAGGTTTAGGGGGCTTGGAGGGACCATGTGGAGAAGGTCTAGAAGTGGAGCCAGGTGGAGAGATGGAACATTGGAGAAGGTTGAAGGGCTGGGCTTGGAGAGGCCCCATGGAGAAGGCCCAAGCTTGGGGAGATCTGATGGAGAAGGTCTAGAAGTGGAGCCAGGTGGAGAGATGGAGCATTGGAGAGGTTCATGGGGCTGGAGAGACCTGGTGGAGAAGGTCTGGGCTTGGAAAACCTGGTGGAGAAGGTTCAAGCTTGGAGAGACCTCATGGAGAAGGTCTAGAAGTGGAACCAGGTGGAGAGATGGAGGATGGGAGAGGTTTATGGGGGTGGAGAAGGTTCAAGCTTGGAGAAACGTGGTGGAGAAGGTCTAGATGTGGAGCCAGGTGGAGAGATGGAGGATTGGAGAAGGTTAAGGGGCTTGGAAAAACCTGGTGGAGAAGGTCTGGGCTTGGAAAAACCTGGTGGGGAGAAGGTCCAAGCTTGGAGAAACCTGATGGAGAAGGTCTAGAAGTGGAACCAGGTGGAGAGATGGAGGATGGGAGAGGTTTATGGGGGTGGAGAAGGTTCCAAGCTTGGAGAAACCTGGTGGAGAAGGTCTAGATGATGGAGAGATGGAGGATTGAAGGGTTAAGGGTCTTGGAGAAGCTCTGGGCCTGGAGCCAAGTGGAGGGAGGTGCCAGGAACATGATCCTGGCTCTGGGCAGGGAGAAGAACTTTGGCAGGAGGAAGAGGAGAAGGAGGAAGAGGTCACTGGAGGCCACGGGGGAGGTGACAGGAACAG